TACATGAAAAATATACGTATAGATTCGGCGAGTAGGCGAGTAGGCGATCAGGCGAGTAGGCGATTAGGCGGTGAAGACTACATACGTATCGACTTGTATGTTCCGCCCTGAGGGCGTTGTAGGCGAGTAGGCGAGTAGGCGAGTAGGCGATTAGGCGATTAGGCGATTAGGCGATTAGGCGATTTGCACACGGCGCACTCCTTAGTCGTCAAAATTGAGGCGCACATGCATATTAGCTTCTCACCCATACACTAGACTACTAGTTGGTAAAAGCAGATCTTGTCAAAGTGTTGCATACAATCCAGATATCACCTAATCGCCTACTCGCCTAATCGCCTACTCGCCTATCGCCTAATCGCCTAATCGCACGTACGATCGCCAACTATGAACGCTCCATAAGCAATAGATTTCTTCGTGAAATGCGTTAGCTGACTGTCCGCTTGATACGCGCGGTGGAGTACGGAGCTAAAGTGATGTCTGTAAACAACCACCATGCATCGAATGTCAGAATAATTTGGCGGTCGAATAATCTTTGATGCTAATGATGTTGAAATGAAAAACCCAGTACTCATTATCATGTTTCTTCAAACATCCATCGGACATTTTTTAGGAACTCGGGGGTGTAGCGGCCAAATGGTAATCTGGGCCAGAGGTGAATATCGGTCGAGGAAATCCTCGACAGGGGGGTCGTATTTGTCAAGGTGGGTCATGGGGGTCGTACTCGTGGGGGTCAGTAACGTCAGTGGCATCGTGGTGCAGATAGGAGGGATAGGGTGTAGCGCAGCAGAAAACAAGGATATGAGAAAAAAATATAAAATATTCTTTGCAGGTTCAGTCGCTCCGTTCCTCTACCTTCGAGAAGGAAGTATTTGAAAGCAGTACAAAGAATGAAAGTGCATCTTTGCAAGGAACAGGGTCACATGTGCACACGCGCTGCAAAGGCACCTCCTCTATCTACCGCTCGCTCCTTCTCCCTTAATACCTCGCTGAGAATGACACTGTTGTTAGGGACCTGTCGCAAAAACGACAACCGTGAAGGAAATAGCATAATTAGCATACATTATGGGTTAAACGAAATAGCACAACACACTCGAGCAGAGAATGTGATAGCCGAGTAGCAACCGCCTATAGCGAGGTTCGCTTCGAATTCTCTCCGGTGGTACTGCTCCGCCGACTGAGAAGCTCTCATTTATAGTAGCGCACGGAGTAGTAACTGGTTTACAGGAGGTGGTGTAAGAAACGGAAACTTAGATTGACGATAAGCACGGATCAGATCAAACAAAGTCACAAATCCGTTTGTTCGTTGTAAAGGCTGCAGAACACTTCTTGCCGACCAGATTCGACCAAAGCGATAACTGTTTCCCGCCTGAATCAGGAACTGAGCTTCTTCAAAAGAGAAAGGCATCCACTAAACATTTTAGACATTCCTGAAGTGGGCGCTTGTTTCCGCTACTTCTCGTGAAGGATGCACTAAGATTTTGTTTTGACGAGAAAACTGTGATGAGCTTTGGAAATCAGGAGATCCCACGAGTCATTCATACCCTTCTCAGGCTACTATAAGATATACACCTGGTGAATCCTTTGCGGAAATTCTAGACTAGCAAGCTGACGACAGCGAGTACGTGGGCCTTTTTGGCTGTTTGGTTCGGAGCGGCTTTGCGAATGAGCCAGTCCAACCTTATATCCTTTTATTTTGTACCCAGTTTAGCTCCGCACGCTACCGCGTGCATGACATCGAAGGCTTCGGTGAAACTGGATAGTCGGTGGGGGGGGGTTAGGTTACCGGTAATGGAGTGTTCATAGTTGGCGATTAGGCGATTAGGCGATCAGTCAACATTTATTTGATGACCATTTCCTGGATGAGGCTTATCAACGTCTTGTTCCATCCTCGAAGAAAATGCCTCCGTCAATGGCGCAGTATTTGGGACAGATTCCTTTCTCGCCATCGTTACCAGAAGTACCTGGTGGCCCAGGAGCTCCTGGTTTGCCATCAGGTCCTGGTGGACCGTCAGGACCATTTGGTCCCTTTGGTCCTGGTTGACCTGTAAAACGATTTCATTTTGTCGTAGAAAAAGCAGAGTAATGCCCGCAACTTACCTGGTGCACCGTTTGGCTCCTGGTTGTCCTGGAACTCCTGCGGGGCCAACTGGGCCTTGGTCTCCTGGCGCACCTGGTTCTCCTTGAATCGAATTGCCGGGTATTGCTGGCGTTCCTGCCTCGCCCACTGGTCCTGGTAGTCCAGGCTCCCCAACCGGTCCGGGTGGGCCTTTGGGTCCTGGTTCTCCCGGCGCACTAAATTCATCAATGGTGTCCTCTTACATGATTCATAATTCTTTGAATTCTTACCCATCATTTCCATTCCTTCCTGGTTGTCCGACTGGTCCAGCATCTCCGATCTCTCCAGGTTCTCCTGGAGGTCCGGGTGGGCCACTCGGGCATGGTTTGCATGGGGTGGTGTAATAGGCTCACACAGTGCACCTGCTGGTCTTCCAGGCATACCCGGCATTCCTGGCGCACCCGGCATACCATTTCTACCAGGTCTGCCTGGTGGTCCCGGAGTACCAGGGAGTCCTGGATTACAACATGGCTGACATGCTTGTGCGCCCTCTCCTGCATTATAGGAGTTTTGACGAGCGATACGAGTGTGATTAGCGGGAACATTCTTCAAAGTAGGCGACTTCGTGCCAGATTTCTTTAGCATGGCTCTAAAAAATTCTTAGTAGGTCAAACTAAATTTAAAAAAAACTGCAGGACATACCCTGCAGAAGCCTATTTCGGAGTGCATTTGGTCGCGAACATGCATCACATAGCTGTAGATCATCGGCACGGTTATAGCCACCTAGAAAGAAGCCAGTCAGAAAGAGAGAAGCATGTCGTATAACTCACTTCGTTAAATAAGATGTGGTTAAGCGAGCTGAGAGAGTACGCGGAGAGGAAGAGTGTGAGCCAGGGTCAAGCGTGCGTTGAGGAATCCTCGACACGTCGCAGGGGGGGGTCGTATTGGCCCGCTGGGTGGAAGAGATCGAGCCATTTTGATGCAGTGGGATCATCACCGTCGGAAGACAAATATCAAGGATGAGTCGATGCCAGGCCAGAGGATTTCCAATGAAAATGATATTTCACCCACACAAAATTTTCGTGATTCTGAGGCGTCCGGTAATTCTTAGTTACTTCAGTGTTTTATCACCACACAAAATAAAGAATCTGAATTTCGCACGCTTTCCAAGAGATATTTCATCTTTCAAGTAAGACCCCGAATCTGAAGGGATGTGAGGTACACGGCGCATCCGAGAAAGGGTCTAGTTGTTGCGCGCGCTTCAACTACGGCTCCTTGGACAAACAACCTCAATTCAGGAACAATCGAGAGAATTCTGAAAGTGTCCGTGCGCATTTACAGGGAGGTGTACACCATTCAACATTGCGTTAACGGACTCTTCAGGGTTAAATTTATAAACATGTAACCTTTAAAGTTGAGAAACGCTAATCAATCACTTTTCTTAGAAAGAGAAAAGCAGTGATTCCAAATCTGCTCTTACTTTAGTACATAATCGCCCTTAAAAGGATATACAGCCGTTGAAATAGTGCCAATGTAGCGAAAAAGTACCTTTCGGCGGTACTCGTGCAAAATCCTCAACGTAGCCGTTTTTTTAATACTGGACGTTTGGAGCAGTTCTAGTAAGCATTTGATAGAGCAAATCTTCTAGTTTATGATGGCGTATTTACTTTTCGGATTGGATGAGTTTGAACGGAGTTATGGCTTTAGGAAGTAAAAAAACTCGCACTCATCACAAATTTTCCTCGTTAATTTTGCAAAATCCTCAACGTGGCCATTTTTTGAATACTGGACGTATGAGCTGCTTTAGCAACGGTTTGGTAGAGAAAATCTTCTAGTTTTGTATGACCATATTAACTTTTCGAATTTGACGAAATGAAGCAAGTTATTGCTTCCGGAAAGTGTAAAAACTCGTGCTCATCTCGAATTTTCCTCGTTAATTGATCTAAATTTGTTATTTCTTATAACTTTTTGTAATTTCAGTACTGATTAGAAAAAGCTCTTCACAAAACTCCCAAATCTGCTTTCAGATTGAAAATTCGTTATATTTGAAGAAAGTTATAATCATTTGAATATTTGTTCAAATTTCAATCCTACATATATAATCGCTAAGCGGTTGTGTGTGTGTGTGTGTGTCTGACCGGAAATTCATAACTTCGTTCCCTTTGATCCCAGAGCGCTCAAACTTCTAGGGTATATAGGGGGTCGGGCGTGAACACTGATGATGGGTGGCGGAAAGTGATAAGTACTGATAGAAGCTGATAACGGGCGTCAGAATGCCGATGTCACCAACTTCCTTACGCCGTTCGCGTTGGCAGTGGATTGCTAGCACTCATGAATATTGTGTAGGGTAGGACTGGGACCCCAAATGGTGAGCGAAGGAAAGTGATAGCAAATGATAAGGGCTGATAAAGGGCATCGGAATGCTAACGTCGTCAGTTTCGCAACGCCCTTTGCGTTGACCCTAAGATGTTCGCACTCATGAATATTATGTGGGGTGAGGCAGGGACCAAAAGGGTGATTGGAAAAAGGTGGTAGCAACTGATTAGAACTGATAAGGGGCGTCAAAGTGTGGATACTACCAGTTTCGTTGCGGCTTTCGCGGTGACATTGGAACCTTGGCTGTCACATGTGGTATAGGGGATGGGACGGGAACACGGATAGTGGGTGATCAAAAGCGATAACAACCGATAACGGTTGATAAAGAAGTTAGGATTTTGAGTACCGCTGATTTCGTTGTAGCCTTCGTGGTGACAGTAAATATTAGCTCCTACACGCTACAAGATGGGACGGAGATACGGTGAATGTGGGTGACAGAAAGGGGTATGAAAGGCAGGTGCACTAATAAAAATAGCGACAATTGAGTGTGCACTCGGTTAAACTTAACCAGATTCCTAGCACGGGAATATGTTCCATTTCCACCCTTTCATCTAAAAAAGCAAAGGAAGTTGAGCTGCTCCACTATCTGGACTTGGACTAATAGCGAATAAAATCATATTTCCAATTTCCATCATCGTTGATGCTGATTGATTGGTTTATATTCCACTTACACACCGATTCTTCAATTGTGGGAATTCTATAAACCGCTAAATCGCCCGAGCTCGATATCAATGCTAAATGTTTACGAAGTCATGATAAGTACCATTTCATTCCGCATGCTACTGCGCGCATTACGCGACAATCTTCAGCGAAACTGGACAACCTTTAAACATCATGTGACACATCTTCCAAAACATCTTACTGTTAGTTTCTCAGTCACGTGACCTAATATTCTGCAAGTTGTCCAGTTTCACTAAAGCCCACCATTTGATGCGCGCGGTTGCGTGCGGAGCTAAACTGGTATAAATAAGCTGCTCCACGGTCAACGCCAAAGTCCAGTCAACACACAGCTGGCGAAGGCGGTTAAAAAGCTTCTTTCAACTGAAGGGCTACGTGCAAATTGAGAACCACAATCTGTGTAGTACTAGAATTTGGTAAGTCTTGTGGAGGAAATAAATAAAGAACAGATGTTGTCATGGTATGCCATTTTTAGTGGCTAGTTTGTCGTTTTCTGGTCTGTTTCTCGTTTGCTCGTTTGGTAGGACTCATCAATAATGATTATTCTTTGACTTTTTCACTTTTGTACTTCTTAAACGAATTTTTTTGTGGGCGGTGGGGTAGCAGGGCTTTTTTATGAGCAGTTTTGGGGGAGAATTAAACAAGCTTTTCAACCTTTTCATAGTTCGGCTTTTGAAGAGGGTTGTTTCATGGACTTCGGCCTCCGGCGGAGGGTGGTGGGGGGGGGTCGTATTTCCAAATTTTCCTCAACGCCTCGCTTGACCCTGGTTGAGGCAGAGCATGTAACAGTTAAAAGTGCAGACACACAGCCTAAGGAGAAAATCTGGTGACACCATCAGTCTTTATTTTTGCAAGACCTTAACGCTCTTGTCAGGTGATTTCCGTGCACGAGAATGCCACATCTGCCTTGGGGTGTGTCCTACAGGTCGAAGAGAATCGTTCATACTTATTCTGCCCTGGGTTGTGCTTTCAAGATAACCATAAATATAGTGAAAGTTGGAGATTCATCAAAGGAAGCGGGTCACGTGAATGAAGGGCATAGGAATACAAGGAATATAGGGTCTTTTTGACATTTTATGACATCGACTCGAACATTGCAGAAGTCTCTGGCCTCAAGCATGCCGTACGATGATTTTGCTCGGGCTTCACTTGCTGCGGGAATGCTAGGTAGCGATAGCTCTCCATGGTCTAGACTGATAGCCAAGTTTAAAATGGAAAGTGATCCTGGGTGGATTAGAAATCGGCGCATAACGAAGTGAAAACGGTGCACATCGCCTTCCGGCGGGGAGGGGAAGGGACATTAATGTGAGTGAGCCAGTCACTGTGCTTGGGAATAAGCCCAGGAGAGGGAAGGGATTCTTGGGGAAAACGTGTATTGTGTTCTCTCTGTCGTTTCTCCCCTTTGCTGGGAGTTATGTTAATGTATCCCACAATCGGCCCTATTTTGAATGTCCCCCAAGGCAGTCATAAACGTTACATAACAAGAAGAACGATGATGGAATAACTTTAACCAGACTCGGGAGTGGATTCCAGGAAATTCAAAAGCGGCGCGGTCGAACCCGCGACGCCAGTGCCACTGTAAGCCAGCCTCGTTGCACAAAAAAACTTTACACCTGATGCAGAATACTGTTTTCTTATATTTGAGGTCATGCTCTGAGAACACGTCAAATTATACGGTCTGATTGCAAACAACTACTGTGACCTAGAGTCTTTCCTTTACAATTTAATGTGAACTACCTCGGCTCATAACCCATCTTCAGGCCTAGAATGGTTGCGTGCGCAAGCAATGGCAACTGAATGCTGGAACGACATTATTCATGTGCGTCTCTCACTGTCACATTTTGATCCACGCTTTCTTAACGATGTCAGGGATGTGCAACAGATTTAGGATTCTTAGAAATTTCTGGTGGATGAATCTAAAGCGCTCCAGCCCGACATTAAAACAGTCTCAATTTGAACGACGATACGAAGAACGGGAGCCGCTCTGCCTTCTGTCCAGTTATCCGTAAGGTAATCTCATCGGAGGAACGCTATCACAACAACATATCAGAAACAGTGGAGGAATGAGTGTGATTCATTTACTAACAATGGCTCGCACATCCGGAGGCCCTTTTCGATACAATCTCCAGGAACGTTCTGAGGGCTGGAGTGGTGGCAGGAGCCGATGCTCAATATGTGGAAGGGGCAGGCAGCTGTCTATGAATAAGGATGACACAAAAAGAAGGCTGACAATGGGTAAGTGTTCATAACCGGTGGGATTTCCTACAAGCGGTTTCATCATCATTCTGAACAGGAGTCGACGAAGAACGGGAAGTGGGATGGGCAGTGGAAGAACGGGAGCCACTGCGCCGGTAAGAGATGCAACTCTCAAACGTAGTAAACGATGCAACTTTTCAATATTACTATCCTCCCGTGAAACGAGTGCTTGCAGCAGATCCGATTCGCGTGATCGCGCTGAAACACGACGCCGAAGATCTCTTTCTCAAGACGCTCCAAGGATAAGTCGTCAAGTCTCTGACGCTTCCCTGGATGCTCCAGACGCGAACCGTGACGATAATCCCAACTTATGCGAAGATGAGTACTGCGAAGGGTATGCGATCATTCTCAGAAACCATCTGTGAACTTGGAACATCACTGATTCTTGGAAAGATGCCAAAACTGGCGATAATCGTGTAATTTCAGAGGATTGAGGAAGTCAAGTGTTATCGTGTACCGCGACTCACGAGGGAGGTTTGCTAGAGGACCACGCCGTAACTAACAAGCAGCAAGAGTCACGAAACAGTTATAAACCTCGAATCGCCGTCTTCCACTCAATTTGTCAAGCGCTCCTTTAACGAGGAGGGGCTGATGCTGAGATATCACTGATTATAACACTAGTAGTTTTAAAAGGATTCGTCTTCAACTCGCTATGGGGTCGAAAAATGGCAACAGGAGATTTATGATTCTGTGCAATGAACTCGAATAAAATTTGTTACGAAACAGCTACTTGTTTAATGCTCATCAGCAACTTTCAGGAAGGGTTTAGAGTTGGCGATCGTGGGTGGGATCGGGCAAGTATGCAATTGTTCTGTAAGGACATGGATGAGTATCGATTGCATGAGTAGGCGATCGCTCCCTGGGCAGACCAACCAAATCGATACGTATCATTGCCTCATCGCCTACTCACCTAATCGCCTACCGCCTAGTCGCGTGCGCGATAACTTGAAGCTTAAAAGCATACCCCAAGATCAAATTAGTGTGGCCTGCACACATACGCGAATATATTGGAGCGAACTGGGTCGTCAGTTAAGAAAAAAAGAAAGGAATCAGTAGAAATCGCTTTAATCATCAGGACCAACAGACCTATCATAGTAAGCTTTTTTCTCGAACCATGATGTGAAACACGGAAACCGTTTCCCAGGAAAGCGGCGCACGACCTGATAAGATCTCCCGATGTGAAGAAAGGAAGTGACTGCATTTATTATTCTGACCACTATCTTATGGAGCGTTCATAGTTGGCGATCGTACGTGCGATTAGGCGATTAGGCGAGTAGGCGATGATTCAAAATGAAAAGTATACGGATCGATTAGGCGATTAGGCGAGTAGGCGAGTAGGCGAGTAGGCGAGTAGGCGAGTAGGCGATTAGGTGATATCTGGATTGTATGCAACACTTTGACAAGATCTGCCTAATCGCCTAATCGCCTACTCGCCTACTCGCCTAATCGCCTACTCGCCTACAACGCCCTCAGGGCGGAACATACAAGTCGATACGTATGTAGTCTTCACCGCCTAATCGCCTACTCGCCTGATCGCCTACTCGCCTAATCTATACGTATATTTTTCATTTAGACTAATCGCCTAATCGCCTAATCGCCAACTATGAACGCTCCATTATCGTCTAACTTTGTCAATTTTGATGCCACTGAAGCAGTTATTTCGGAGGCGGCCAGATGATCTTCAAGCATTTTCTAGTAACCGTGCTATCAATCAATAGGATTGATGTTTGTTGGCTTGATAGCAGCTATCGGGCTCAACTCGGCCCAATCGAACGGCCAGGGAGAACACATAAAATTTGCTCACATCCTACCCAGATTCCTTTCCCCTGCCTAAGGCTATGTCCCAAGCACAGCAATCGGCCCACTAACTTGAATGTCTACCCCCCCGCCCCAACGAAGTGAGCGCCTTAAAATTAACGAAAAGAAGAAGCCCCTTATCCGGGTCTGTACCATTTTTTCTCAGATTTTCCTTTGCTATCGGACCCACCACCACTCTCTTCATCTCCGAAGGGCAACCATTGGCTCCATTGGACTTCAACGAGCAAATCACATAACGGGAGTGAGGGGCAAGTGGAGTCCTCTTCCAGATGCGATCCAAACTTGTTAAGCCGGGGGTAACTAATAATCGTTAAACACGGATTCATCTGGCTCCATAAGGCTTTGCCGTTTCCTGCGTGAAATACAACGCGAGCACAAAACTCACATTTTTTTTCACGGGACATTTTGTGGAATTTCTCTACGGACCTATATATCTCGCTACAAGAACCCATATGTTTCGGCCACAGGACCAACACAAGCTCTAACTGCAAACTCCCCATTGCGCTGGCAAAGTGTTGCTTTTGTCCTTTATTTGTTCAACTTTCTCGTTTCCTGGCCTTATCGCAGCTTTTTTGTGCTCTCCCTTTCCAATCAAAATATATATAGTCATACCATTTGGGTTAATGGTAAGGCAAGTTTTTTGAGGGTTCAAATGAGGCACTGGTTTTGCAAGTCGAAGTCCTAGAAATTCACTGAAAATTTAGGGCGGAAAGCAGCCATGTACTCAGTGGAATTCAAGGCACTAGGGGAGCTTCCATAGTCACAGAAGTAATGAAAAAAGGTTGAAGGAGAGCTCAAAATCAACGTGCATACCCGGCGATGCACGCGGGCTGCAATGTGTTAAAAAGTGGAAGGTAATAGTGGCATCTGGTCCTTACCTGACCTGCCTGTTCCACGAGGGTGTCGGTATACTCGTGTCCCGAAGTTCAGGCAGGCTTCCCATTGCACCTATAGTAGTGCTATGGGCACCATTGCCGACTGGTGCAGGTAAGGTACCTGGATTACACTCAAAGTCACCCAAGTTTGAGAGGTCTTCCTTAGTTCCTCGCTAGAGGGTCAGCAGTGCTAATTTTCCCTCGTGCTGCTATCTCTTTGAATGCAGGAAAGGGAATAGGGTTGCAGTAGTCCTTTTATATCGTAGTTTTTAATAGTTTCGTGAAGATAATAGGGCTACCGTCCTCATTGACTAACCACAATGTTTTCTATTGTTAGTTTCTTTATAGGCGCGTCAACTGCACGCATGAATAAATAAAATAAAATAAATAATAGGATCGCGTCAATGCTAATCGTATGCCCTCATCTTCCTGCGTGTAGTGCGGACTAATTCCAGTTTTTGCCTCGAGAAGCTAGGGATTTCTAGGCAAACGGCATCCACAACTAACCTGCTGGGCAGTATGGTGAAGAGTGTGGCGAGGCATACGATTGTAAATTGCTGACTGTGCCAAAGAAGAAAAGGGGATTTGAAAAAAAAAACAAATGGCCAAAGATTTATGTGGGAACCTGGTACATTGGCCCAGCGCATTTTTGGCTACTTTAGTCGCGTACATTTTCGTGACTGCTTCAAAGAAAAATAAATGAACTGATGTGAATGTATTGTAAGGCTTAGGAAATTTTTTTCTGAACGGGCCACGTATGGCTTCCTTGTTAACTATATCATTTATAACTATTTCAAAGGCAGGGATTGGGATGCAATTGAAGGCGGGAATCACACTCGAGTATGAATGCGAAATGAACTGCAGGAGGAAAAAAGGAAAGGAAATCGTCGAATGGACAGGAAGCTGATTTCCAATGTGCCGTCTTTCCTCTTTCAAACTCCATCTTTGAAGGAGGACGTCATGATCAATTTGATAAGGAGAGACAAAGGAGAGGTAAGCGTACTAGAAAAATACTCCGGGCTCACAAGAAACCGAGAGACGTACAGTAGCGGTCAAAAGTGTTCGCCGAAACGATTTTTAGTGCATTATTTTTTCTCGCTTGAGCAACGCCCTCCAAAGATTGATATACTATGTTTTCTAGTGTTTCATAAAGAATCAGGATGTTCAAAAGAAAAAATTTTCGAGGCCACCATTGATTTTTCTGGCAAAAAAAGAGAAGCACGGAAAACCGTTTCGGCGAACACTTTTGACCGCTACTGTATATTTCGGCGAAGGGTGCGCCCACCGCGACGTAGCTGACCCTAATGCTGGCGTGCGCCGCGCCAGTGGCGCGGCCTGCATCTAAACAGCAAGATCTTCCAGGTCGTGCCCAGCTTTCTCAAAACGGTTTCCTACGTTGTACAGGGGGACACGTGATCGTGGAACTATCCTTCAATTTTCTTTTGTCCTCTGAGCGGCAAAAAAGGGATGAATGACTGGAACATGCTTCGATCCTCGTGGTGACAAGTTTTGAGTGTTCGATCGACGCCCGCGTGATGTTGCAAAATGGTACCCGCGGCTAGTCTGGGTGCCAATA